CCAATAGTAAATTCGCCACGATCAGCCCTGCACGTGGGGTCCGTCTCTACGTGCGTACGCGCCCGCTGCAGGCACGTCGCAACGGGTAAAAAAGAATTCATGCTTTGATCTGGAAAATTTGTCAAAGGATCGCATCAACGCGATAGTCTCGTACGCTGTGTCGCTACGTCAGCCTAAAAATTTCCGACATGTCAATGTGTTTCACGCTCCGCGGACAGGCATGGCACGTAGTTTTTAGTACTCCGCGCCGATCTAAACAGACGCCCCCCAATCAGTAGACGCCCAATCTTACGACTTGTGCATATCGCTTAATTCTGTACGGTAGATACGGTTTAACTAAGTCAGCAGATTCGCGCCGTCCCACAGAAGTACGATAAGACCTCAATCCTGCATCACAGGATCTTGTTCAGGATCTCGCTCTAGTCGACCTCGATCAGATCCCGAGATGCAGACCTTGATGTTGCAGTCCCGTTGCGGCTAGCCTTTCGGCAACCGGCTTTGTAAGGTTTCGGATGACAACATCTGCGCGCTCACACTTGTCCGGACGCACATCCGCCGTTCCTCCCGTGCGGTAACTAACACATACATGTCTTTCTGAGACTTCCTCATGCGACCGTTCACGTCCAAGACCGTGTGCTTCCAATTCGACCACTGCGCAATACACGATCCGCTGCTTCCTACACGCAACCATCTCGCATCTGCCGGATCTCGCAACTCTCAATTATTCTGCCGTCGAGAGCATGGTGGAAACGGGAACTATAAGACAAGTCAAGAAATCAACATACGAGCCTAGAGACGAGTCAAGATAAGCTGTGGACACCATAGTCATCGGATGCTCCCCATTTCGAAGTAGCTGAAAGACAATCGAGGCCACCATCCCCGCACATTCCTCAACAGAGCACTTGCGACTCAGTATTTACCACCGTTTTTAGCCGTACCTGGCAACGTTTATGGGGACATCTGCTCTCATTCGGTGGACTCATCGCATTCGCTTCTGGTGCTTATGGAAGCGATAGCGAATCCTGGTTGAGATGCAGCCACCGCATTGTATTAGTCTGTATCCAGGCTGCCACAGACACTAGTACGCAGCTCTTCTACGCTCATCACGGTAGATACAGAAAAGAAATGCCTCCGCAGCAGGATTCTCATGCTACGATCTTGACGAAAACAGGAAGTATTCATTAAATCCGGCATCGCGCATGGCGATTCACTTCCGCCAGTCAAAGGACCTGGCATGATACGGTAGCAGCCGCGATCGCTACCCACGTGCAGAACCACCAGAACTTTCAAGGACCCCACTGCACGTTCCTCAGCTTAAGCCTCATCCCATTCCTCGGCTTACTAGCGATTGCACCACTTACGACAACCTTCTCTTTCGGATTTTCCATTTCCAACTCGAAGCTCCCTACAAACGCCGCAACAAGCGCCCTTAGCTCGGCTCTCGCAAATCTCTCTCCTATACAGCTCCTCGGCCCATGCAAAAACGTGAGAAAACTGTAGTGGCTGTCCGCCCCACCGTTCATCGTCGCGCGCCCCGTCTTGCTGTCGATCCAACGCTCGGGTACGCACTTTCCAGAGTCCGGGCCCCACAGCTGCGGATTGCGGTTTATTGCCCATGGAGCGATCCATACCATGGTGCCGCTGGGTATGATTTGGCCACAGACTACCGTGTCTCTGATGGCGACGCGCGCCGTGATGGGAACTGGAGGGAAGAGGCGCAGGACTTCGTTAAGGACGCAGTTGAGGTAGGGTATATTCTCCAAAAGGCTGGCGGAATTGAAGCTGGAGTCCGAGAGGACTTTTGGATCAGGGATACATTGCTGGATCTCGGAGCGAAGGCGCGTTTGAACGGCTGGGTGCTGGGCCAGTAGGTGAGACGTCCATATCAAGGCAGAAGACGTGCTTTCATGACTGTACCGGTCAGCTTTGTGCACGAGTGGACTTGAAGGTAAGGGTACTAACCCTGCGGCTAACAAGGTGAGGAGTTGATCAACCAGGTTCTTATCCGACAGCTGGCTGTCGCGTATCATGATCGACAAGATGTCACGGCTCTCGGCATTGTTGTGCTGCATCTTCGCCCTCCGCTCCGCTACAAACTCGGAACAGATCCTGCGCAAATTCCTCGTCGTAACCCTGGCCCGCTCATGCAGCTTCCAGGGTAGGATGCTGACCAGCCAATGCGGTAGGACAATGTTAGCCACATAGTACCACATCTTCTCCGCGGAGGGCTCCAGAATCTCCTCGTAGTTCTTGATCAACTCGTCATCGGCGTTCAACAAAGACCCGGTATCTCGACCCATACCAGCGAGACAGATGAGGTCCAACGTCACCCGCGATGTATACTGACAGATATCCAGTACGCTATCTGGTCGCCCACAAAGCTCCTGCCTAATCGCGCTGCAGAATTCCATTGACTTTGCGCAAAACACCGGATACAACTCTTTCACATTCCTGAAGTGAAACGCAGGAGCCAACCTCTTCCGCTGAAACCTGTGCTCCTCTCCTTCACTCAACAACAAGCCCTCCCCCAGGAATCTCATCAGAAACCTTCTTGCTCGGGACGGTTTCTCGAAATCATAGCTCTTGTGCACCAGTACATCTGCCAGTGCCGCCGGCGTAGTCAGGATAAGTCTAGTAGTATGGAGAAACCCTCGCCGGAGGATGATGCCGTCATTGGGCACTGTCTTCATGGTTTGCAGATGCCAGTCCCGGCCTGACTGACGCTTCTTCAATAGCAACCGGCCGTGGCCGAAGAGCGGGATGAAGCCTTTGGGTTGCGGCAGATTGCGCAGTGGACTAAGGAAGAAAGGATAGAAAATCATGTTGTAGAAGATGAGGACGGTGTTGTGGAGGATGGTAAACGCAAGCCAGTATGTAGTGAGAGAGGTACCTGGTAGACATCCCGCAAGCAGGTAATGCGCGATGACTGCTTCGAGAGCCGGTAAGAGAATACAGTTTGCGCCGTTGAAACTCATGGTTGGGATGAAAGTGGAAGAGAAAAGAAGGGAAGAAAGAAGACACACCAGAAAAGGCTTCGACAATATTAGATGTCTGATATCGCTGCTCCTTTTCAGCAATTTCTTTGTCTTCCACACCTGCAGTCATGTGGCGCATGAGATATTTTGAGCCACACACCACATTGTCCCCGATTGGTTCGTCTTCTCCAGCCGCCGTATATCATGCAGGTCTCTTAACCGCGTAGCAACATCTCTGTTATATAACTAAACATGGAATATATCCAAGCGAAGGCGTAACTATCGCTTTGGTATTTACAAGCCCGAGCGTCGGGCGTAATAGGCAGTATTCTGAAGTCGACATTGTCATCCGGGCTTATTGTTCCTGCAGGTGCATCACTCAGCCCAGCCATGAGATCAAAACATACCCACTACTGGAACGCGATTTCAGGAGGCTGAAAAGACAGCAGATTCCCTCTTGTCACGCATCCCACCACTACACCACACTCTCCCCTCCCCTCAAATCACCACCCCTCTCCATCAACGCAACCTTCTCCTCTTCACCCACCAACTTCTTCGCCAACCCTTCCTTCCCACCCTCAGGATCCAACCCAGCACACCTAAGCACGAACTCACCAATCCACTGCTCCGCCTCGAGCGAATTCCGCGTCAACGCATGGTCATCCCCCTCGAAAAGTTTCAGTTCCCTTTCACCCTCATCCCCATACATGTCGTACAGCCTCTCCGAACACCGCGGACTCAACGTGCGATCCCCCGTCCCATGAAGAAGCAGTACCGGTCGTGGCGCAAGAGACCGTATACCCTCCGTTTCTGCAGTCTGACTAGCAACCGTTGCGCACCCCACGACTCTCTCATCTAGCCCACCAATAGTAAAGACGGGTGCGCCGCCGAATGACCAACCTACTAACACGAACTTCTCGATTTGATACGAGTCTTGTAGTTCCTTCATAGCGGCTAGCACATCTCTAACACAGTACTTGTTGCGCGCAGGATATCTGTAATCCAATCGTAACGCAGGTACGGGCTGCTTTAACGAAGCCAGTTTATCGGCTAGGGAAAGGTATATAGATGATGGACCCACGACGCCGCCACCCGCGCCCGAAAGGAGAATGGCTGCTGTTCTGCTAGACGGCGTGGCGGTTGTTGTAGGCGGTAAATGTAAGAAGCCTGGTACGGAGCCATCGGGTCCGTCTTCAACGGGTATGGAGAGGGGTTTAACGATGCATGATTTTTGGGCGAGAGGTGGGTGCGAGAGGCCTAGGTAGTCGTCGAGACGTGCTGGTCGTGAGGGTGTGGATGCGCGAGATGTGGCTGATAGTGAGGTGGCGGGAGGGGACATTGTGCGTGTTAAAGTGTCGATGTGGGCGAGGAAACGTTTCATGAGGGATAGAGTAGGGGGCATTGATATTATGAACAGAATTACCTTGCTACATAGCTGCAATGTAGTGTTCGCCACTTGCCATCTCTTGCCGCATGCTTACTTAGACATGATGTCACTCCAGAACTACACCAATCAAGTGATACTGGGTTGCGAGACTGTAAATATCAACGGCTTCTTCGATTGTTCTGCTCCGAGGACGATTTGTCTGAAAGCTGCGTTGCTCCAACGAGGAAGGGGAGCATTGTAAGGGTACGGACTAGGCCCAAGTGCGCTAGCTGATTGGGCCTTCGCTCTGTTCCTGTGACAGAGAGGAGGCACAACATCATGACGCATGCGAAGACAACAGAATGAACGCGCACGGAAGGCTCTTGGAAAGAGAGGAAATCTTACTAAGGACTACGATTATCTCCTATGCTGTAGTACTAGCGGAGCATTGCTCGTCGACCAAATGGCCAACCTCCATCAAACGCCATGTCATGCTGAGCTTTGAGCTCTCTTACCCTAAACGCCGCTTACTTGCTGGATATATAATCCATTGAACGCCGACCTGGCCATATGACTCATGAAAACTGACCCGGGCGCCGAAGTCCTGACGGGTTGCGCCCCTGTACCCACGTTGGTGTTGAAACACCTTCATTTCATCGTCACCTTTCCGTGGTCTCTAAGACCAGGGCCTCGGTCCCCGATTCCAAATCATCTACACGACCCGCTCCAATTTCCTCACTGCCCGCTCTACTTCTTGATGGATGCTGTGCAAGAACGGGCGAATCTGCACTGTCTGAGAAGTTGCCAACGCTACTCTCGCGTACCCGTTGTGCTACGCTAGCTGCGATTTTCTCATCCAGCATGGTCACCAACCGTTCGGAATATTGGTCCAGTAATTTGACCATGACCGTCTCCTCAAAAGCTTTGGATTTTATCCTTTCCCCAATTGCCCTCGCGGTAGCCGCAAGCTCCCTCTCGACCTCTTTCGCTATCTCTGGGCTAATAGTATCACTAGTGTTTGCAAGACGTTTCCTGTAGGCTCGCAAGGTCCTGCATAAACTCTCGGTCGACGCTCCGATCTTGCTAGAGTCGCTGACAGGTGCTTTCGCGCGACTTCTGGCGTCCATGGAGGCGCGACGTTTGCCGAGTTGCGGGTTTTTAGGGCTAGGTGGCGATGGGGAGCGGTTCTTGTTCTTGCGTATTGTACCCCCGCCATTCCATGCTGTTATTCGGCCTTCGCGTGAACTTGTAGGCATAGGAGATGGATCAAGTTTCGGCGTTGGAGCCAAGGAGAATTTTGATACTTTTTTACGCAGCTTTGGTGACTTGCTCCCAGTGTTCGGAGGAGTCTCTTCCACGGGGGAGCGTTGAAAACGTGCTAATTCGGATTGTGAGAATACGCGTCGTAGAGGTGGCTTGTTGGATAGCAGATCCTGGTTGGAAGGCGTATTTGGGGCGAGCAAATCCATCGACTTTGATATGTCTTGACGATTGGGAGCCTGTAAAGCCAAAGCCCATGCAAATATAGTCCCGTCTACTGCTACTGTGACCAGTGACTTCTCGCCCAACTCTTCACTCACTTGCCCAGGTGTTTCCACAAGCGCGATGTCAGAGACACCTTCAGTATGGCCCCAGTCACGAGCAACCAAAGAGCCGCTTTCATCGTAAACGCGTATCGACTTATCGGTGCTCGACACACCAGCTATTAGTGGAGCGCCCCAATTACGTGGTATGTGGACTAGAGAAGATAGAACAACGGCATCCCCACCATCAGTGTCGCATGCACGGAAGTTGCTGAGACTTTGACCTGTTCGAATGTCGAATTTGTGGACCTGACGGTCGATGGTTGACACAAGCAAGACATCATCCTGATCAACGTCCCAGGCTGACGACACTGGGGTTGCCTTCAACATGATAGCGCGTGACATGACAAAAGCGCGGGTCGTTCCACGAGCCTCCTCGAGAGACAACAGTTCGCGAACGACGAGGCTTCGATCGCTGGAAGACGAGACTAGACGAGCGCCATTTCGTGAGAAGGAAACCCCGTTAACTGCTCCCACATGCTCGTCCAAGGTTTGCAGTAGATCCCAGGTCTGCTCTAATCGGGTGAACACTTGAACGGTGCGATCTCGACTGGCGGATGCGACAAAAGTGATATTCGGCTCTTCGTGTATGGCGATGCTAGTGATTTCACTGGCGTGAGCCTTGAACTCTAATGTGCAGGTTTTGGTGTTGCAATTGATGAACCGCAGAACGCCATACTTGTCTCCTGCGACGAGGAAAGCGCCATCGGCAGAGACACGAACTGTCCGTAGCTCGTTCGGAACGGCCTCGGGATCGTCCAGCTGCTCAAGCTGTACTTGAAGCAAACCTTTACAGGATCCTTGACTCCAGAAGATGACAGTCCCATCAGCTGCCCATGTGTAGTATGAAGCCTCGAAAACGTTTGGTTGTATGAGACCAGCGTGTACTCCTAACACAGCATGCCCGTGCGCAGGCAATGTGTGGACGACGTTGCCGACGACGCCTTCGTCGTCTTCGGAGCACAGTTGCGACAGTCGAATTGCTCGGTGTGCATCGACAGTGATAAGGTAGTCTTTGAGACAAGCAATCACACCGATCTGACTGCTGTCCGTGACCGAGATGGATGGAGACTCTATGCGTGGTGGAGGCGAGGGCGGGGGAGTCAGTCTTCCGATCATCTCCTTTATGTTGAAGGTTTTGAGCGCGCCTTGGCTACCGGCGATGTGAAGTCGTCCCTTGACGTCGACTGCTAGAGAACTGACAGGAAAGCCGGCATCGACTAGTCTCGAGAAGCGATGGTCAGATTCGGTATCGTCGATGAGACATATGTCTCCCTTGTCAGAAGCCACGATGGCCTTGTTCCGGGCTATAGCGACGACGCTTGTGAATGTGGACTCCTTCAAATTCTCCAGGATACAGTTTCTCCCTGGTAATGTCTTATGGGTCGAACCTGAGAGGAACGAAACATCGCTCTGGCGCGCCTTGCTAATGCGCATTGTGGCGTTGAGGTCATCGATCTTCCAGACCTTGACATGGCGGACACCGACAGTGACGAGCTTGTTTCCCATCCATGCCATCCGATTGATGTGGCTGACGCACTTGTTGCTAGCATGCAGCGTGGCAGCTCCGGTGCGGGAGTTGATGTGCCAGATGTATAAAAAGCCATCGTTGGCTGAGCCCAAGCTAGCCAGGAAGCGCGAGTCGGGGCTGAAGGCTACGCAGTTGACGCCGAAGGTGTGATCCGAGAGAGACGTGAGGGGCGTGTCCGAGGGGGCGTCTGATGAGGCAGAGAAGATGAGTACACGCGGTTTGTAGCCCGTCTGGAATAAGTTAGGATGATGCAGCATGAAGTCGACAAATGTCTCACCTCTCCGACGGCGAAGAATTTCCCGTCAGGACTGAAGCTGACACAGGTTGCCGCCTTGATCTTCTCTTTCATGTTCCAAGCTCTGTTGCTCGGCGAGTCTGCCCAGTCGGGCGCACTGGGCGACGGGAGTGGTGAGCCCCCGAAGCCGGCGTCGCGCAACGAGACGGCGGTGCGGTTGCGACTCTCGTTCTGGGTCGGGGTGGATGGCCCGCCATAGATGGAAGCCGAGGGATTGATGGGGTTGGTGGTCGGGCGTGCGCGGTAGAAGCGCTGGGTGACACGGCCTTGGTCGTCTATGCACGCAATGACAGCGGCAGCACCCGCCGTGTAGCCAAAGGTGCTCGCCGACGGCAGGCTGTCAAAGGCATTGGCCGAATTGGTCGTGGTGCCGATGACCTGGCGCAAGGCAAGGCTGGCTTCGGCGCGTCCAGCCTTGACGGGCGAGCGCGGGGTCGTCTTGAAGAATGGGGAGGGAGAGGGATTGAGCTTGATGCCGGACCCGATGGCTGGGCTCATCATCCGGGGATTGGAGGGCGTAAGCGACATCGCGGCCTCCAGGTCAGTGGTGGAGGAGGTTTGCGATGGCTAGCAGACATCTCAGAAAGACGTCATGGCACTAGGCGCGCCTGCTTGCTGGGGGAGGGCGAGGTGAGGTGAATATCGCGTGGTTGGTAGGGATTCTCTGCTGCGACTGCGGAACGGGGATCCGGCCGCTATCAAAAAAGGGACGTGAGCGCGCAATTGAGCGGGGTGAGTGCGGTCTAGAGTGGTGACGGTGAAGGGGCAAAGAAGCTGCAGCTTGGGCGGTCGTGCATCAGACGGCGACGCGCATCTGAGGGTGAATTGGCTCGACGGGGCCTTTGTTTGGGCGGTCACGACACGCAAGGAAGCGACGATCTACGGCGCGAGGAACAGGCGGAGTGCAGCTCGCTAAACCCTATCACCATGCATCATCACAATCTCGTCCAGCCACACCAATTTCCCCAGGCACTCCCGTCGACTTCGCGACTTGCACAATCTGATGACATCGTGAGAAGCTCCGATATGCAGGGCTCATCGACGCAGGTGTCCGGCTGTTGTGCGACCCAGTCATGCATCTCCCAGGTAGCCCTGGCACGTCGGACCAGTACCTGCACCGAGTGCTGCGACGTGGCAGAGTATACGTGTGTACACGCCGTGCAATAACAACTTCGCATAGCAACGAGCGAGGTTGAGAATATCCACATGCTCTAGTGTCCACCGCGGGCGGCGCAGTGGAGTATCGCGTTGGAAAGGAACAAGTGCAGCATTCGAAAAGTGGGGCGCACACATGTACAAGTCTCATCGGTGTACCACAAGACAATCTCAATTACGCTATCATGGCAAGAGCAGGACGGAACACTAAGTAGGAGCTTCGCGCGCCATTCAACTACATTAACATCCTTCAGAAATACGCCGACACACCAGCAATTTATTCCCCCAAGCCCGACCCGTACTCAACTTCGAGACTAACGCACCAGCTTCCACCCGTTCTTCTTCGCATCCAACCATCGAACGTTCAAGAGACAGAACAGCGAGATCGTCAACAAGGATCCGGTATAAACAATCACCCTGACAAAGTCTCTGCCTTGCAAGTCTACATCGGCGACTCTCGACACCAACGCGCCTGCTATCGGTGCGCTGATGACAAAACCGACTCCGCGTATACTGGTCATCATACCACTTTTGGGGTAGTACATCTCGGAGCCAAACAGCATCTTCTGTGCCGAGTTGATAACGACGTTGAAGACGCCGTTGCTCAGCCCGTGGCAGACGCTCATACAGATGTAGAGTCCCACGTTGCTCCCCATTGCAGCAGATAGCCAGAATGCCCACGTTGCGATGGCGTACACAGCAGTGGCAACAATGAGCATGTTCAGATGTCCAATCTTGTCTGACAGCCAGCCGGTGCATAGCCTACCTGGGATCCCTACTCCTGTGTTGATGGCCAAAAGGTATGACCCGTGGATGATGCCTGTTCCTATGGACTGAGCAAACTCAGGCCCGAACACCATGGGTATTGCCATCGTCAACGGATGTACCAGGTTTGCGACTGCGAGTGAAGCGAAAAGCGGATCCTTGAAGACATTCCAACCGACTATATCGGTAGACCGCCTTTCGAACTTCCGCGGTGGGAGAGCGAGCGCACTAGAAATGGACAGGACTGCGAAGCTGAACATGGAGAGAATTCCCAATGTCCATCGGATACCGAGCGTCTCGAGTAACTTTGTCAGTGCGAAGACCCATACCGTGCTCCCTAGAGCCGCGCATGCAAACATGCTACCTTGTGCGAGGCCGCTCCGCTGTGGGAAGTACTCTGGTAATATGGGCCCAAGAAGATAGATGTGAATGCCGGTTCCAAGGCCGACCAGGAGTCCCTGACACGCAACAAGTGTTGCCAACTGCGTCCTAGTAAGTGACTGATGCGAGAGCAGTTGGGAAGCTTTACTCACCTTGTGGCTGGCTACTGCAGTTGCGAATCCGATCACAACAAACGCCGTGCCTAATCCGCACAAGGATCTAACGCGACCTCCTAATTGGGGAAGATGCGGGTAGTAGAACACTCCAAAGGCGGCGAAGAGCCCTCCATTCCCTAACGACCCTATCGCCGAGATCAACGGGCGTTTGGATAGCTCGGTCTGAAGGAGGACGCCTTCCGTGACAGCCGCTTCTCGTCCGTAGTGTGCTTGGAACACCCCAAAGGCCTGGTTGAGGCCAACTAACGTAAATGCCATCAGACAGGTCGAGCCCAGGATGCGGCATTGTTGTGTCCGTGTTATACGGTCACCAAAATTTTCGGCATCTGGATGGGTGGATATGCTGGATATGCTGGATTGTCTGGAGCGCGACTTCTCGCGGAGCGAAGGCTGGGCGCTGTCGACTGATGTCGAAGTAAGCTCACATCTACACAAAGGATCAAAGGTGCAAAACTTACCAGCTTGTTCAGCATCGGAGACGTTCATCTTTTCTATAGCGACAAAAGGTATCTGTGTATCAAGAGTACACAGGAGTGCGAATACCGTCCTACTATTTAAGAGCTATACGTGAGAAGTCTGTTTCCCATTCTCCTTGCCGTCGCGGAAGTTATGTAGGCAACACCATGCGCGAACTATGGTTCCGCTCATTGTTGAATTTTCGAGTCGCTACCGATCCGTGGTACCATCCAGTGTCATGTCATATGAGGCACTCGCCCCATCCCGGGCATCTTTAGGCCATCCAACACATGCCAGTTGCAAACTGCGTTGGCACGCTCAGGTTTTGAGACCTCCGGTTGGTGAGATGCAGCGGAGTCAGGTCCCATTCAAAAATATCCAAGTGCATGGACAGACTATAGGTTCCGCATTAGACGGGCACGCAGTCCTGACCCACTTGCTCCATCACCATATCCAAGTTGTATGAACTGTTGAACAGTGTGGCAAAGCCGTTTCAGAATGCTGCATATAATCGAAGTTGGAGTCATTGTACTCTTCTAGGCCTGATGTCGACATGGAAGGCACCGAGTGGTCTACCAAACTTTGTGGTCAATAAGAAGCTTCCATTTTCGCGCACATATTCCTAGCTTGGCCAGAAGCTGGCCGCTCCCATGGTAGTTTGTATGGGACGACGCAGCATGCTGCCTCGTTTGCACATGCGAACTCCCTCATCTCGATGTCTCTTGACGCGCGCATGCCCGCTGCATCGCCTACGTCATAGCTTGCCCATCTATTTGTGTTGACATGCATTACCTTTGCATTAAGGACATTTTCGATCACTAACAAGGATCAACGGAGTAGAATTAGCATCGCAGTCGCAGCCAGATATATCGCGATGTGTTGTGGTAGAAGATGGACATAGGGCGGGAATAGCCGGCGCGTCTTGGGTGGACCCTTGCTTGGGGAATATCAAAGAAAGTTGACGATGGTTATCGCCATCAGACGCAGCGCCGCGCATTGCCTCCACCCCTCTGCAGCCTACGCCAACTCCTGTAGGCTCCCTTCCTCCCCACTTCTGGGAGCGCCTTCGACGTCCGTATGTACGTGATTCGGTCCGCACTGCGAGTGTCTACGAAACGACCTCCAGCGCGCTTTATTCGCGGCCGCCGCTACCCTTCGATACCACGATTACGAGCATTCCACACCACCCGCACCCTCGCCCAAGCCGCGAACCCACCGCCCGCGCCCAATAGCACACCCGCCGACCAAGATGACGTCAACAAGGCGGACCGAGAGAAGTCGGCAGCAGCAGCAGTGGAGGAGCCCGCCGACAGTGTGGTAGCATCAGAAGACCCAGAGGTTCTGGCACAGAAGCTGCAGCGATCGCGGGAAACCTCACGCAGGTACTCGGCTGCCTTGCGACGCCAGCAGCGGGGGAAGAAGACGCAAGGGCTGCCGCCTGTCCACATACCAGACTGGTTTCTGAAGAAGAGGGTACTACGCCGTCAACAATATCTCGGAGACCCACAAGTAGCCAATGCGCCCACGGTTCTCTCTGTCCAAGTCGCTCATGCTGAATCCGGAGAGCATGCCGCGTGCACCATACCGGCTCCACGCGACTCGGACGCTACCCAGATCCTGTCGCGACTAGTGCGTGGCCTGTGGAACAGGCGCCTGGACGACCACGAGAAGCTCAAGGTGGAGAAGTATTTGGAAGAGCAGATGGCACCGATCAATCAGGCGGAAACACACCAGTCACAAATCCGGAATGACGAAGCAGTCGCTAGCACCGAAGCAGGGCGCCCGGACGAAGTACCCATATCCACAATCACCGAAGACACTGCTTTCATGGACGCTTGGTCTAAGCTGAGCAAGATCCAGAACGACAAAGACATGGATCCGCGCCAGAAGATCGAGGCCATGAAGAAACAGAGTGCCAAATTGGGCATGGTTGCGAGGAAACGGGAAATCGCAAAGACTCGGCAGGCGGGCAACTCCAGACGCCTATCGTCCTTGGTCGTTGCTGAGATTCGAGCTACTATGGCTGCGTCTCTTTCCTCCTTACACCCAGCTGGCGACTCGTTCCCTGTTACAAAGACAAACCTTAGCCTTCACTCACCCATGGCTGAGCACGAGCCATTGATAGATGAATGCGTAACATCTACTGCTCTCGAAATGGGCGCTGACGTTGTTGTCCTAAAAGCTCAAGACCTTGCTCATCTTGCTGGAGATTACCTTGGCGAAGGAGCAGAGCCATCACCACGTTCGATACGCTCGCTGGGCTACGAAGCATACCGCATGAACACAGATCTCGGCGATCTCATGAGGGACATAGAAGACTCTATTGCTCAGGACGACTCCGAGTGGAATCAGTCTTCGTCGACGGATCAGCCTGACCCCAATTCAATGCGCCCTCGTGCTATACCTCTCTCCATAATATCTCTAAAAGGCTCTCTTTCACCTGCCTTGCGGGCTATGACGCAAAGCTTGAAGGGCATGGGCCTCTCATCAGGCGAATTCGGAACGTCTGATGCGACAGTCGATGAGTCTGGGCGCAGTCAGAACCCTGGGGACGTACAGCTTGAGGATCTGAAGTTAGCCGCTCTCTTAGACGCA